GTAATTTTTTTTTTTTTGGTCTTTTAGAGACAGGGTCTCCTTGTAGCCCCAGCTGTCCTGGATTCACTATGGAAACCAGGCTGGCCTTGAACTCACAGAGATCCATCTGCCTCTGCCTCCTGAGTGCTGGGATTAAAGGCATGGTCCACCACGCACACCTTTAATCCCAGCATTTGAGAGGTGCAGGCAAATGAATCTCTGTGAGATGGAGGCCAGCCTGGTAGGTATATACACACATGTGGCATTCACTCACACACACATAAAACTAAAATTAATAGAAATAAATCTTAAAAAGAAAAACTCAACTAACTACACCAGGCATGGCTGCACATGCCCATAATTGGATGAGGGCTGAAGGTTATCCTCAGCTACATAGGGAGTTCAAGGCCAGCCTGGGCTAAAGGAGGCCCTTTCATAAACAAAAAACAAAACTTCAACCAACCAAGAACCAGCTGGAAGGTTTGTTGAGGCACCACACTTAACCTAGCCAGGATTTCAGGGCTGAGTGAAGGGTGGGCAGTAGGGAAACATCAAATGAACCCAGGCCTCTCAGCTTCCTTCTGCCCAAGCCCATCCTCCACTTCAATGGCTGCTGGGGTTGGGGAGGGCTTCCTGGAGCAGGGCCCAGACTAGGGTGAGGCAAGCAGGGTGCTGACAGCCCTCAGATCCTGGCTTGCTTCACCCAGCCAGGCCTGCCCTGAAGGCTCCTGGGCTCTGTTGACCTCAGAAAAGGAGGAGGTGCTTTCTAGGAAGTGGCCTCAAGCTTGGGGGTCGGCTGGGTGGGGGTGGTGACCCTGTGCCCTGTCATTCCTGCTCTTCTAACAACTCAACATCAACCTTGGTGTGGTGTAGGTTAACCTTCCCTGTCTACAGTGCATCTTGGAAGGCAGGAAAGGGGCAGGGGAGAGTGCCCCTAAGCCTCAAGGTTCACTTCTGCACAAGTCCTTCCTGGGACTGGCACTAACCTCAGAAGGGTCGGTCTCGTGTGTGTGTGGGGGGCAAGAACCCCAGAAGGATCGGGGTGTATGTGTGTGTGTGTGTGTCCTGGTTCCCAACCCTCGGTTTGACAGTCTGTTTCCGCTGCTCAGGCCAACAGAGCTGGGGTCTCACACTTGCAGCGCCCAGAGCTCTGAGTGGTGTCCTTCAGAGAGAAGTCCAGGAGCAGGAGCAGTAACTTGGTGGGGGCAGGGCTCTGCTACTGGGAAGCTCTGGGCCCTATTTCTTAAAATGCCACTTAAAAGTAAACGTGGTCACTTCAGTCAACTTAATAATGACGGTACGCGCTGCAGAAAAACGTGCAAGAGAAAACAAAAACAAACCTTATTATTCAGGCTTGAAAACCATAAAACACTCGTTTTCTCCCTGTAGGTATTTATATCCTGAGCGGGGTGTAAAAACTGTCCCCATATGAAGCTCAAGCTTGAAGTAACTTAAATGAAAATAAAAAATTAGCCCTCTCCTGCTTTAAAAAAAAAAAGATTGCAGTCCTCAGGTCCGGCTGCCGGAGGAGTGGGGGGTGGGGGCAGCCCACTCAGCCCCACGGGCAGCTGTCAGGCAGAGTGGGACAGGCTTGACGGGTAGGGGGGGGCTGAGTGTTACTAGCCCCCAGACTCGTCAAGGAACGGGGGGGGAGTGGGGGCCCGCCCCTCCATCCCCCTCCCTAGCAGGGGACCGAGCCCCTTGCTCCCTCCACCCCTGCTGCGGGTCCCCCTCCCGCCGCCCCTCGCCCTTTCGGCCTGGGGAAGACCGCTGCTCCCGTGCCCTCCACCCCCACCCCTATCAGCCAGGAGCGCCCTGCACAGTCCCCGGGGAGCCTCGTCCCGCGGCCCCAGGACACCCCCGACACCCCCGGGGAAAGCCGGGAGCGCAATTAGTTTCTTCCAATTAGTTTCCCCTCTTTGTATAGCTCCCATTCAACTGAGCGCGTACTCCTCCGCGCGCGGGGGAAAAGTAGTCCCGACCTCGCCCGCACTTCCCGTCCCCGCGTCCCGCACATTCGCTCGGGGAGGCTGAAGGGACGCTCGGCGGGGTCCCCCGGGGACCGGGCGCCGGGGAGAGGGCCACGGAGTGCGCGCCGAGCGAGCGGGCAGGGCACCGCGGGAGGGGGAGGGGGCGCGCGGGGCGGCTAACTCCTCGCCGTCGCCTCGAGAAGATGGATCATGGGGCGTAGAGCGAAGGCAAACCTCAAACCACGTACAGTGGGCGATACGCGTCAACCCAACTCGGTCAACGGAAGCCGGGGCCGGCCCCCTGCCCGGCTCCCGCCCCACGCCCTGATGGACGCGCGAGCGGACCAACCCACCCGCCGTTCTCCGCGCCAGCCAATGGAAGCCCTCGGGAGGCGGGGCCTCCGTGCGGCGCGTGGTTAGGCTGCGCGCAGCCCTCCGCCTCCTCCCCCGCCGCCAGGCCCCGCCCCTCCCCCCCGCCCGCGGCCGCCGGAGTAGTTAGAGCCAGTGAAGTGCGGGCGGCGATGAGAGCCGAAGTTGCGCTCGGTTCGGCGTCGGGGGCCTGAGGCGGCTTGCGCGGCGCCCTCTGGGCCTCCTCCACCCGCCACTCGCGCCCTTTGGTCCCGCACGCCCGCCCGGTCCCGTGCGAAGCTGCGC